CCATCCCCCCTCCAGCACCGCCCACCTTGGTCCACCACCTCGCTCTGAACTAACGTGGGTGCCTCAGACTCCTCTCCTCCTCTCACTCTCCTCCCTGCAGTCTGCTTCTACACCGCAGTCACTGTGCTTTCTGGAAATGCCTGCCAGGTCACTTCCTTCTTTTGCTCCAACCCTTCAGTGACTTCCTGGCACACTCAGATTTCACCTGTGAGTCCTCACCACGGACTGCAAGGCCCCCCACCGCCTGGCCCTGTGCCTCTCCAGCCTCAGCTCCCACCATGCGGGCCCTGCAGGCTCTTCCTGGTTCTCAACATGCCGAGATCAAACGGGCCATCCTACAGGGTCTCTGCACCTGCAGCTTCTTCTGGAATGCTCTTCCCCAGGTAAGTGAACGGCTCACTCTATCATCTGTCTCGCTTGATGCTGAATGCACCGCCTCAAACAGGCCCTTCATCACCACCAGTGAATGAATGAGTAAATAAATAATTAACACCCTCTGTCCCTCTGACCTCTTAACCTGAATCTGCTTTATTTCTCTTCACAGCACTTACCACATTTTTTTTTTTTAATTTTGTTTGGTGTCTGTCTACCCTAACAGGAAGTAAACATCACAAGGAAGTCAATGCTTGTTCACTGATGTAACTTCAACACCAAAACCATGGCTGCTACCAGGAAAGTTCACAGTATCTCTTCAATGACTGCATTTATAGGCTGAGTTAGCAAAAATGCATTCTTCAGGGGAAAATATACTCATCTGCTATACTTTTTAAAATCACAGTAAGCAAAGAGCAATTTGGACAGAAAATAAGTCGGTATTTTACAAAATTGCCTTTCACCGAAAAGGCCACAAGTTTATAGGACAAAATACATCTGTCATGTTATGGACCTAAACCATTTGAATATTGTTGTTCAATATTAACATTCACTCTGATAATCAAGTCTGACTGCTCTCCGTCACACTGCTCTCTGAATCTACAGCTTAATAAGGAGATTCATATGGATGTGGACCTCTTACAGGTCCTTTAAATAATCAAAACCCTACTCATCTTTAATGACAGCATGCTTCAAATGACAAAACATCCATCTCAGGCCCAGGTGAGTTCCTGGTCCTAAGCTCTACTTCCTAGTATCTCAGACCATCCCCACTGCCCCTCTGCCTGGGCCTTAGGCTCAGTCACTTCTCAGTGGGGTCCTCGCCCGGAATCTCCCTTCCATTCAGAGCTCCCGCTTGATGTATTCAATACAATACTGCGGAAGTGATCGCTCTGCCATACAAACCCAGCATCTTTACCGCTTCTTAGAAACCTCCAGTGGTTTCATGGACCTTTCAGGCCTATTTTCACCTCCTTCACTTGGCCTCATCCCCGTCACTGCCCTCTGTTCCCACCTCCAGCACACCCTGCTGGAAGGTAAGCCAGCCACAGGGAACTCCTTGGCTTCCGAATGCATCACCTTGCTCTTTCCTTTATTTTCCACACATAGGTTCCTCTCGGTCGGAAACCCTCCTTTCTACCCCTTTGCCCGGTGAAAGTTTTAACTCTCCGCTTACAGTCAATTCCAGAGGACTTTCCAAGGGATCTCTGTGGCTTAGCTACCCGGCCTCAGGACTTATAATTACCATACAAATCAATGCTCTTATAACTCAATATGCACTGTTTTGTTTTCTGTCTTCTTCTAAACTGTGAGTGTTTAAAAAGGCATTTATAATGAACCCATTATTTGTACATGATCGAAGCCAGGATTACTGAAGAGAAACTGATACATTCGAAGAATCATCTCCCTAGTTTTAAGTACAACTACTATGGCGCTTCCTCCCTAGAGATTCTGAAATGTCTAGCCTTCCCATTTCACTTGAAATTTTACCACAAGGGCCCTGGCTGGGTAGCTCAGTGGGTTAGCGCACCTCCCTGATACACGAGCATTGTGGGTTCAATCCCAGGTCAGGCACATACAAGAATCAATAAATAAGGGGAACAAATCGATATTTCTCCCCCCCCCCTTCTTCTCCTTCTCTAAAATAACAATAAATAAATAAATAAATGTTACCACAATGTAATGTTAACAATATAGATGCAGGAGAAAATAAGTAGGAAGTGAATCTGATATAATTAGGTCTTAAAATAACTTAGAAGCTTTAACAGTCTATCATTTCTTGATAATGTGCTATCACTGGTGTAGAAAGGGCTACCAAAAGTATGAAGAATAAACACAACATAACACCTACATCATGATCTATGTTAAAAGCCCAAAGTGTGTTAATCAGCTTTCTCAAAAACACACTGGACAAAAATATCAAAGGCAGAGTAAAGCAATCTTGAAGATATCACCACAAGAAAATCTCTTCTCAAACATACAATACTTAACATACACATTGTATTTATTTTGGGATTTCAAGCAACAACCAAAAGAGCACTTTTACCTCAAAACAATGCCACAATAAAATTTTAAAAAATTATTATGCTTTAAAAATCAGTGCAAATTTTAAGCATCATTGCTTTTTGTTGTTGTTAACTCTCAGCTGAGGGTATTTTTCCCATGGAGAGAGTGAAGGGGAGGAGGATGTGAGAGACACAGCCATTGGCTGCCTCCTGCAAGCACCCGGACCTCGGACCAAGTGACCAAATAGGGCCAGGCAGCGAACCCAAAACCCAGGTACTTGCCTTTGTCCAGTAATCACACCTGTAACGGTTTGGTTTGATGCTCTAACCACTGAAGCACACCAGCCAGGGCTAAGCATCATTACTTTTAAACTGTACTGTCAGAAGCAGAACTACAGTGATTTCCCCCTTTTTATTTAATTTATTGGGGGGGGGGGGGGACACTGGCTCTTAACAAAATTATACAGGGTACAGGTGCACAATTCCACAACATCTATACACTATTGTGTGTTCACCACCTCAGCTCTTCTTCCATCTACATCAGACACTCCACTCCTCACATCAAGTATAAATATGTTCGGTAAGAGCTAATAAATGGCATAAACCCCCCTATAGCTCTGTTGTCATTACAATATGGAAACTGGGAGCCTGGAAAAAATGTAAGTCCAAAATAATCAATACTAAATACTTTTTGAATTGCAATTTTTTTTAAAGCAAAATACCAATCATGGGCGGCCTCTCAACTTTCATTACACAAGAAATTAAGTTGTAAGAAATTTGCTAAGTTTTTAGTACCACTGATTACTAGTTCCCCAAAAGGAAACTTACTATATAGCAACAGGAAGTTCGTCTTGTATAAAATCAGAAGTGTATTTTAATAACACCTTTTCTTAAAGGCAGGAATAATGGAAATGCTGAGCATTTAAATTAATCGTTTTAAAAGGATACCCCAAAATTTGCATTTGCCTAACACTTAGCATGAAACTTTTAGGGTTAAAGTTTCCAACGTACTTTCTTTTTTTTTTTTTTTTTTTCAAACACACATTGAAAAAAAAAAGAGAGAGAGAGAGAAGAAAAAGGAAATGAAAGAAAGGAAAGGAAAAGCAGATTTAAATCAAAAGATCTTCAACTTACTACATTTCTTTTAACCAAAGATTAACAGTTCCTAACAGGCCAGGCACTACTTTGAGAATTGTGACAAATTACAACATTTATTCCAAATGAAAACCTGTGTTATTCAGCTTCTGAATCTATTACATATTATCCAACCCAGCATTTTTCTTGTTGGAAATTTTTGCCGACAACAAGCAAGGTAAACATTTTTCTTATAAACTCACTTGTCACTGTTTTACACAGGTCACACTAGTCACAGCTGTGACAAACATTCATTTATGAAACATCACTAATGTTTTGTGTTTCTTTTTTTTGTTTACATGAAGGTGGGATAGGAATTCAGCAGACACACACATTTAAAGCACCTCAAACTCAAGAAAAAAAAACCTAAATAATTACCGGACTGAACATAATCACTTTGTTCAGCTGATAGAACATTGAAGTAGCCGCAGCTTTTTCTTTTGGCCATAAACACGAGCATTACACATTTTAAAAGCACTCTGGACTCGGACGAAAAGTGAAGCAAATGCGTTTAAAAATAGTTCAAAGAACTGTCAAAAGTGGACCGCATTTGCATTCTGACAGCCCATCTGTTGCATTTCTGCTCCTGTGCACGCACTGTGCCTCCTGCACGCGCTCTCCTGAACGTGGACAACAATGTCTGTGGCCTCCAAGTGCCACCAGTAGAATCCAGACATGCAGGTGCCTAAGGCTTTCCTCCTAGCCTGCTTTAGAGACATCAGGGCTCTCAATCACACCGCCTCCGCAGGGAACAAACAGCCTGTACTCCTGCCGCTGTCATTTCTTCCACCGATTAAGCAAATTCTACTTCTTGGACAATAGACTCCTTCCCAGAACACGTTTACATGGAAGAGGGACCTGACCGCCGTTTTCATCGCAAAAGCAACACTACACCCTGACAATCCCCAGACCGTGTGCAGCTCGACAGAGACACGTACCCCGAGCCATCCCAAATCCCTGGAAAATACAAGGAATACAGCTGCCAGCTCCGGGGTGCGCCAAGATCATCCAAATCCTCTTTGAAAAAACCGTTGCGGCTAAGACTCTGCTCGCGGCTGATCAAGCAGGTCTGCCTAAACTCTCACAGCGCTGTTCACACCCCCGGTGGGGTTTTCTTACATCCGTGTAAGCGATCGAACCCCAATACAGTTCGGGTTCTAGAGTCCGGTTACCTGACCTGCTTCTCTTGTGTTTTGAAGCTTTAGAGAAAAAAAAACAACACTCCCGTGCGTGCAATGATTGCCTCTGGTTTCCGGCAAAGAGAGGCGCTCCGTGCACGGGACAGCCGTCCTCGGTGCGAGATTCCAAAAGCCGGCTCCCAACTCCTCGGCCCCGCGCACCCCACTCACTCTGGTTTCCCCCCTGGGAAACGGGATCGCAACCCCCAGGCCCTCCGAGCCCGGGGCTCCGAGGGCCCGAGCTCGCCCTCGATCCGACCGCCCCCGTCGCTTCCTGGATGTTCCTTTTCCGCAGCAGCGGCGATCTTACCTTCATGGCGATGCCAGGCCCGCGGCGCCCTCCGGAACACCCGGTTCACCTGCACCTGGAGGGGAAGGAGACAAAAGGCACCGTCACCGCCGCGGGCACCCCCTGCCCCGGCGACCCCCCTGCGCGGGCGGAGGCGGACAGGCCGCTGCGGGGCTCGCCCGGCCTCGCCGCCACCGCGCACCCCGCCACCCACCCACCCACCCACCCACCCGGCTCGGCGGCTCGACGGCAGCCCGGCGGCCCCCGCGGTCGGGACCCGCCAGAGTTTCCCCGGCTCCGACCATGACGCCATTTCTGTCAAAGAAGAAACTCACAACAAGCCGGGCGGGCGGGCCGGCGGGGCCTCTGCGCTCCCCGCTGCCCAGGGACCTTTCCGCGCAGGGCCGCTGCCCCCGCGGCCCGTCCCGAGACCGGGGGACCGGCCGACCGGCCGACCGGCAGGACGAGCGGGCCCCGGGGACAGGGGGCCGGGAGGAGGGGCCGGAGGCGGCTCAGCCTCCGCGCCCGCCGGGCCGCACCGGGGCCCTCGCCGACCCCGGGACGCGCGGCCACCAGGCCGAGGCGACCGCGGGGATTGGGGGTGGGGGGGCCGCGGGAGCTCCGCAAAGCGGAGGCCAAGGATTCGGGCGCCCGGCCGGGCCCGGGGACTCCCCGAAGGACACCCCCTTCCCCCCCCCCCCCCGGGTCCCCGACGAGCCCGCGGACGCCTCCGAAATGCCCTACCTTCGTCGGAGGCCAGCGCCGAGCCCGGCGCGTCCGGGGTCCCCTCCCCGGCTCCCCCCCAAAACCGGCAGGCCCGGGGGAGAGATGGGGAGCCGCGCGGCGCGGCCAGCGGGGCCGAGGCTGAGGCTCCGGCTCCTCCTCCTCCCGCGGCGGCGGCTGGTACCTTTGTTTGGCGGCCGCACGGGTTCCCTCGCTGGGGGGAGGGGGACGACGAAAAAAAAAGCCTCCCGGACGGGGCGCCCGGGCCCCCGGCGCGCGGCCGCCCCCGGAGGACGGCGGCCACAGTCCCCTCTGCGGCTCGCTCCGGGGAGAGGTCCAGGCGGCGGCCGTGGCGGCGGCCAAGCTAAGCTTCAGAGACTCCTCCGCTCCGGCGCCCAAGCTCCTCACTCCGGACTCGACTGACGGGCAAACATCGCTCCCCCCGCCCCACAGCCCGAGCCTCCCCCCCCCCTTTTCCCTCCGCTCTCCACTCCCCTAAGCTGTCTCCCCTCCCCTTACCTCTTCCCCGGATGGCCTCTGAGACGGCCGCGGATTGGGCAGGGCGCTTTAGAGCCCGCCCACACCTCGCTGTCATTGGTCCCTGGGATACAAACAACGACGCCATTTTCCCACCAGTTCTATGGAAACAGAAAGTGACGCCCCGGCGCCCGCCGGGAAATGTAGTCCGACCCGGGGGTGCCCGAGAGCGAGCCCTCGCCCGCGAGAACTGCAAGACCCGCAACGCCCCGCGCCTGCGTGAGACGGCGGGGGAAGTGTGGGAGGGGGAAGGGGCGGGGCGACAGTGCAGGGAGGTGGCGGCGGCGCCTGCGCAGTGGCACCGGGATGGCGCATTTTCTTGCACAGAATAATGCGGCGTCGCCGGCGGCTGAGGAGGGCGGAGAGTTCCTCGATGAAGTAGGGGGAGGGACTGATGGGGGCGTCGGGAGGAGCCCGGGTGTGAGCTCTAAAGTGGGAAGTCGACACTGGGCCCTGCGGCTCCCGGACCGGTGGCGCGGAAGCTGTGATCTCATCGCTGAACGGTGAGCGGCGGTGGTGGCGGCGGGGAGAGGCGGGAGGGGAGGCTGGATGGGCAGGAGGGCGGGGTCTGGGGGAAAAGAAAGAAGGATGGTGAGGCCCCGGATGCTGAACCCGATTGGGTCCCAAGGTTCTGCGTCCCCTCGCGGGCGAGAGGGAAGAGCCGGAGGGGCCGGATCGGGGCGGGAAGGGGCTTCGGAGCGGAGAGGAAGCGGAGCCTCGCGGGCCCGTCGACCCTGTGGGAGCAGCGGATGCCGGAGGCTCCCGGCCCCGCCGCGGTGGAAAGCCGGCCCCGGAGGAGGTTTCCTGCGCCTCCGAGCTGCGCTTCCATTTGTAGGTCTCTCTGGAGCCGCTCTGACACCAGACCCCTCCCTCCATCTTCCCACGGGCAAACGTGCGCGCCCCGATTTGCCCCTGGAACTAAGCGTTAGAATGCGGCTTCCGTTCGCTGGTTCAGTCCGCGAACTTGCCAAACGCCTGCCGACCGGGCAGAGGAACCGGCCCGGCTCCCGCCCCAGGGGACTGAGCCTGCGGGTGGGCGGTGGCCGTGAGGGCACGCCGGCCGGGGTGAGAGGCTGCACGGTGACCCGGTGCAGGGCAGCTGGGATAGAGCGGGGGGTTAGAGACCTAAGGGAGGGCTTGACCCAGCCAGGGAGGTTGGCCTGGGAGGGCAGGGGGGGAACTAAGGAAAGGACTTTCCAGACCTAAAGAACAGCACGTTGGAAAGCCTTCTGTCTAACGGGAGCTTTGGAAATGCGGGGAGCTGAGGCTGGAGGAGCAGGGACCCAGATCCTTACTGTGTTAGGAGTTTGGGGTTTTTGTGTGTGTGTTTTTCCCCCGGTGGGAAGAGAGATCAGACTCCCCTTTGAAGACTCCAGTTTTACAAAGATCACTCGCTAAGGCAGGGGCCCAGCTAGGAAGTTACTGCAATGGTCACAGGGAGGAGAGAAGGTTTTTTATCTGTCACCGTCCACTGTTTGAATAAATTTAAAAGCAGTTTGCGTTTTGCAAATGAGTTGTTTCTGACTCACACAGACATTCTGTAGTATTCATCAACCTAAAAATAAATTAATAGAGCTATGGCTTGGTGCGCTAATTTTTTTTTATTGTTTTACCCACAAGAGTAGACTACAAAAAAAACCACACTTTTCAATTCTTAAATGTTTTTATTATTGTTGATTTTTAGAAAGGGGAAATGAGAGGGTGAGAGAGAGAAACATGTTGCCACTCACCCCACCCCCACAGCTGATGTCTGCAACCTGGGTATGTGCCCTGCTCAGGATTCAAAGCTGCCGAGGAGCCACACCGGCCAGGCATGCACTTCTCAGTTCTTTAAATTCATAATGCTAAAAACAAAGTCACTGTCCAAAGCAGCAAAAGAAAGCAGATAAAGGGGGAAAGCCTGACATGTGTCAAAGATGTCAGAGCAATTACAAAACTTCCAAAGTGTCCTGATCGGTTTGGCTCGGCGGATTGAACGTAAGGGTCCCAGGTTCCATTCCGGTCAAGGGCATGTACCTTGGTTGCGGGCACATCCCCAGCAGGAGGTGTGCAGGCGGCAGCTGATCGATGTTTCTCTCCCATTGATGTTTCTAACTCTGAATCCCTCTCCCTTTCTCTCTATAAGGAAATCAATAAAATATATATATATTTTTTAAAAAAAAATTTTAATGTGAGGACAAATAAAAATAGATTTTTACAGAGTAGGAGAATAGAGATTTAATGGTGAAGGAGGATCCAGGACGACCATGAATGATATGGTAGGAAATAACAAGGTAAATAGAAATTTAAGAATAAAGGAAAGGAATATTTTTAATAATTCATGTCTTACCTTAAATCAGAACCTCTAAAATGGATTGATGGTAGTGGAAATACAGGAGAGAAGTCTCCTCTTAAATAACATATAGTTTATAAAACATTTTAATATTCATAGAAAGCAAGTATGTTACTAACTTGTATCATCAATTATATATAGAATGATCGAAATCTGTGGATTTGTTTTAACATTGACTTGACACAACCATATAAGCCTTTCATGGTTGAGTAAATATAAAAGGCTTAATATAAGTTTTGTTCCTTAAAATCCAGGTGAACACTGACCAATCACTTGAATGAAAACTTCCCCTTTTTTAATGCTATGTAATTTATATCACAGTTCACCCGTTTAAAGTATACAATTAGGTGGATTTTAGTGTACTCACAGAGGTGTACAACCACCACCACAATCTAGTTTTTGGACATTTTGATGGCCCGCAAAGGAAATACCATACCCATTAGTGGTCACTCCCTAGCCCCCTACCCTAAGGTTACCCAGGCAATTGTTAACCTACTTTATTTCTTCAGATTTGCCTGTTTTGAACAGTTCATGTAAGTGGAATAATACAATATGTAGATTTTGTGACTGGCTTCTTTCACTTAGCGTAGTGTTCTCAAAATTTCATACCCATAGAATTTCCTTTTAAAATGAAGCAAAGTCTGGATTTACAAATTCCTTTGCAGTTTGACACTCAATGATAATTTAATTAATGAGTTCATATTTATGGTTCTCTCTTTTAACAGACGATCTTTGAAATTCAACAACAATGGAGAAGACGCATGAAAAAATGGAAAGGATTCTTCTAGAACCCTATAAGTACTTGCTTCAGCTGCCAGGTAGGTTTTACATAGTGTGGTCACTCACGCTAGCCTTCACTCACAAAGGCATTCTGTAGTATTCATCAGCCTAAAGCTAAATGAATAGAGCCGTGGCCTGGTGTACTAATTTTTTTTCTTTCATCTACATACTCAAGAGTGCACTACACTTTTCAATTCTTAAATTTTTTTTATTGATTTTTAAAAAGAGGGGAAGGGAGAGGGTGAGAGAGAGAGAGACACCTGTTGCCACCCACATCACCAGGTTGTTTTTACAGAGTGGTCATTCGAATGTTAGCATTCAGAAAAGTTAGGTTTGCCAGCTCTTGAGATTTTTATATTGAAGGTCATGCATAGGAGAAAAGTGATTATTGGTTATTAAAAGGGACATTTTTGAGGTACTCTTAAAAAATATGCAACTATCAATATATAACTTACCTAAAAATTAAAAATGTTTTAAACATTCAATACATTTCTGGAAGTTTTATTGTTTATGGATGCCACACTTCCCTGTTCCCACTAGATTAAGGAACGCTATGCCAGTTTGTGCAACAACAAAAAGCTCCGTTACTGCCATGCTCATGTTTCCACCGTCACACACACCCTGCATTTCTTACACTGCGGCTTCCTTTAACAGACAAACAGTAAGGCATCTGAATCACATTACAAGTGTAAGTTCTTAGAATAAAATTCACTTATACACCAGTTTCTTGGAACCTGCAATACTCTTTTCTCATTTAAATGGGAATACTTCAGGCTATGGTCGTTATTTTTTTGTAGGAAAGCGGCAGAGCTGTCCATTCTCTAAAGCTTAATTTAAAGGAATGCTAGATAATTTTAAGAGGTAATTCAATAGCAACGTACATTTCACTGGAAATACCTGTTCTCAAAAAAAAAAGTCTATGTTCTCTAACATATTCTGTGAAATTGAGTGCTAATGAGCTGCCACTAACTAAGCTGGCATCCTTTCAAAGGGAATGAATTAGATCATAATTCCTAAACCCCGATTCCATTCCAAAATTGTTGATACAAGTTAAGATGAAAGTAGTGGGCTGCTGAAGGATTTAGCACCTCTTTGCCTGCCCTGGTTTTAAGGCTGGGGGTGTAGAATGTGAATTTGGACAGGAGGGGCCCGGCACTGTAGCTCTCCAGTGGGCAATGGGTTGATGGGGTTGGATTTATCAAGTCTGATCCGCTTCGAGTAAATTTCTGAAATGTGTTTTATAATTAAAGTGTTAACTTGATTGCCAAATTTTATTCTTTAATTGCAGGTAAGCAAGTGCGAACCAAACTTTCCCAGGCATTTAATCACTGGCTAAAAGTTCCAGATGACAAGCTTCAGGTATCTAGGCAGTTCCAATCCTCCTTTTTTTTTTTTTTTTTTTTTTTTTTGCTTTGGGTAGAGAGCAAGCGAGAAAGATTGATTTCTTGTTTTGTGTATTTTATGCATCCATTGGTTGATTTCTTGTTTGCACCCAGGCTGGGATCATGTATCCAGACGATGCCCTAACAAACTAGGCTACCTAGCCAGGCCTCTAACCTCATTCTTCATCCCCAAGAAATGTATGTCACCACATAAAAATACTCCTACTCTTATTTTTTTTAATGCTCATGCAACCTACTGTTTTCATATTGAGGTTGCTAAATAATTACTCCTTTTCAAAACTAAGGCATCTGAGACCATCATAATCTGTTCATGTAGTACTTATTTATTTCAAATAGGAAAAACATGAGCGTTTCGATTGTCTTTTTGTTAGATCATCATCGAAGTGACGGAGATGTTGCACAATGCCAGTCTGCTCATCGATGATATCGAAGACAACTCGAAACTCCGACGTGGCTTCCCGGTGGCGCACAGCATCTACGGCATCCCGTCCGTCATCAATTCTGCCAATTACGTGTATTTTCTCGGCCTCGAGAAAGTCTTAACTCTGGATCACCCGGATGCAGTTAAGCTCTTCACGCGCCAGCTCTTGGAACTCCATCAGGGTCAAGGCCTGGACATTTATTGGCGGGACAGCTACACGTGTCCCACGGAGGAAGAGTATAAAGCCATGGTGCAGCAGAAGACGGGCGGGCTGTTCGGGTTGGCAGTAGGTCTCATGCAGCTGTTCTCCGATTACAAAGAAGATCTGAAGTCACTGCTTGATACGCTGGGGCTCTTTTTCCAGATTCGAGATGATTATGCTAATCTACACTCCAAAGAATATAGCGAAAACAAAAGCTTCTGTGAGGACCTCACGGAGGGAAAGTTCTCGTTCCCGACGATCCATGCCATCTGGTTGAAGCCGGAGAGCACGCAGGTGCAGAACATCTTGCGCCAGAGAACGGAGAACACGGACATTAAAAAGTACTGCGTGCACTATCTGGAGAGCGTGGGGTCTTTTGAATATACTCGGAATACTCTGAGAGAGCTCGAGTCGAAAGCCTACAAACAAATTGACGCGCTCGGTGGCAACCCTGAACTAGTAGCTCTGATAACACATCTAAGTAAAATGTTCAAAGAAGAGAATTAGTGATATTAAGTGAGCCATTCTTGATTAGGCCTGACAGCTTACTTGAGCTATTTTTTTGTGTTTTAGCCTATCTTTATAAATTTGGAGCAAGCTGTTTGTCTCTGAAAACTGAGCGGACAGGGTGATGTGGGTGAGTGGTTTCCATGGAGAAACACTCACTCTGACCACTGTACACGATGGGAGGAGCCGGGAGGAGCCACAGTGAAATGGGTGTGACGTGAATGTCGCGGTGTGCTGTGTTGGGTCCTTATGGCGGACTCTGCCCTGAGTGTTTGATTCTGTCAATAAAGAATTCGACTTCCGTCTTCTCATCGCTGGGAGCAGCTCTCTCTTCCCCCGAACGTGTCCATCCGCCTGGGCCTAGTTGGTCCCCACCCCTCCTCCCGGAGCACCCTGGGCTGTGAGGGGTCTCTGCTTGCTGCCTCCACCTCATCCCCTTCCTCCCGCGTCTGGTCTGCCCTGGATGTGCCTTTCCTGTACCTCCCCACGCCCCTGGGGAAGTGGCTGGCTCAGGGTTTGACAGAGGGAAGAAAGCAATAATAATAATAATAATAATAATAATAATAGTAATAAAACCTTCCAGGAATATCGATACTTCTAGCTATACTGTATGGGCAATTCCCAATTCATCTGCCCCAGTTGCAAGCCAGTGGCTACTGGGGACCAGTTTCTATGGCTCGCTGGCCCATGGACTAGGGGGACTCCTCTTCCTGAGAGTGGCTGCCTAGTGCCAGTCTCCTCCCTGGGAATTCCCACGGATGTCTTCCCTGAGAAGGCTGACGTGACAAACAGCACCAAGCAGTCTCCTTGCACATGCCAAAGTAACTGGTGCCCCAAACTGATCAGTGTGGGGGTACAACCAAGGCTGTCCGTTGGGAAGAGAGAAGTACATGGAGAAGTGGTGTAAGAAGGGGCCTTTAAACCTCTGTCTGTTTTCCCAGGGTTAGGAGTAAAAATCTCAGAGCAGCTAGCTCACTTCAGAAGGAATAGCCTTTTCCTTCCCACGCACCACGGCCAGAAGGCAGCTGGCGCTTGAATGGAAGGGGAGCTGCAGGCCTCTTTAATCTCCGATGAAAGGCGAGTGTGTTAACCTGGGGCCCCGGCCTGCCTGCGAAGTCGCTATGCTACCATCCGGCACTAATGAGCTGCCCGGTGCCTCAGCCCTGGCTCCCTCTGGTGTGATTCCCACCCAAACGCCTGGAGCCGTCTGTGGCCGAGAGAGAGGAAAAGAGACCTCGGTGACTAAGAAGTGATGCTGACATCCCGAAATAAAAGTTGCGTTTCTCAGAAATGGTGCGTTGGCGTTCGACTTGATTGGTTCTTTTTTTTTTTTTTTTAATATATATTTTATTGATTTTTTACAAAGAGGGAGAGGGATAGAGAGTTAGAAACATCAATGAGAGAGAAAAATCGATCAGCTGCCTCCTGCATACCCCCTTCTGGGGATGTGCCCGCAACCAAGGTACATGCCCTTGACCGGAATCAAACCTGGGACCTTTCAGTCCGCAGGCTGACACTCTATCCACTGAGCAAAACCGGTTCCGGCTTGATTGGTTCTATAGGCTGTTGTCTCAGATCCAATCACCAGCACCTGTACTGGCATGAGACCTTCTCACCAAAGCACTCACACCTTTTCAATAAGTTGGAGGACCCCTCGGTAAGATTTTCAACAATAACGATAAGTTTCTTTTTTAAGTTGGGTACTGTCTTTAACTTTTATGAAAATTTGAATCTCCCATTTTTAATTGATATAAGGGAACCTCAAAATCATGAGTATTTGTGTTACATTATGGGAATTTGAATTTTGGGGTTATGAATCCATAACTTAGAAGAAAGAGAGCATTATTATTCAGAAAGACAAAATGCTAACTATACAGAGAAATTAAAACGGCTCTCGGTTTTTTTAATGATTACCATTATAATATCAAAAGCCTGACCTCAAAGTCAGGCCCTGTATCTGCTTTACCTGAAAAAAACCAGGTCATTCTTTCTTCATGTCCCTCGACCAACCTAAATAATGGGATGAAATCACTTTTACCCCGGCCTTTTTTTAAAGCACCATCTTCACTCTTTAAGTGACCCAGGAGTGTGTCTTGGATTTATTTCTTACCCTTGCCTCTTATATCCATTTAGTCCTCCCAACCAGTTTGGCTCAGTGGATAGAGCGTGGGCCTGTGGACTGAAAAGTCCCAGGTTTGATTCTGGTCAAGGGCATGTACCTTGGTTGCGGGCACATCCCCAGTAGGGTGTGTGCAAGAGGCAGCTGATCGATGATTCTCTCTCATCGATGTTTCTAGCTCTCTATCCCTCTCTCTTCCTCTCTGTAAAAAAATCAATAAAATATATTTTTTAAAAATAAAAAGCCTCCAGCCCTTTTCAGGGCATAGATGGATATTAATACATAAATTAACATCATTCTGCTTCAGTTTTCTCCTAAGATGGAGCTAAAGGTGTCCTACCTTCCCGTGTGCAGGAGGGCTGGCCAAAATAAACAGTGATAACCCCTATCTGATAGAGCCCATCAGAAACCAACCTACAATCTAACCAACTTAGGTCTATTCACTTGCTGAAACAGGGCAGCCACATATACCCTTCTTGTGTGGACCTGGGGAGTCAGAGAGAGCGAGAATGGGAGGAGTGCCGGTAAAGAACAAAGCAGGCTCCAAGGTCTCGTATCCTTGGCAACTACAAAGTGAAAATAAACACGGGCCGAAACCGGTTTGGCTCAGTGGATAGAGCGTCGGCCTGCGGACTGAAAGGTCCCAGGTTCGATTCCAGGTCCCGGGCATGTGCCTGGGTTGCGGGCACATCCCCAGTGGGGGGTGTGCAGGAGGCAGCTGATCGATGATTCTCTCTCATCGATCTTTCTAACTCTCTATCCCTCTCCCTTCCTCTCTGTGAAAAATCAATAAAATACATTTAAAAAGAAAAGAAATGCGGGGTGTTAGAGCTGCAGGGCTCTCTGCCCCGGATGGAAACGTGTCGGGATGACCCCATAGCTCACCTCCTCCGGCCGGGAGCAGAGCTGCTGGAAGTTTCAGGGAACGAGGCTGCTCCGTCTACGTCCCTTTCGCTAAACCAAAAAGAGCCGTTTTTTACAGTCACCGCGGACATCCGTGTCGACATCCACATTTAAAAGTCATCACGAAAGCCACGTCACCGGTGCGGGTGCCTCAGGGGCCCCTCGGGCGGGGGAACGGCCTCTCTCGTCCGGGCACCATCGGCTTCGGGTGCTCGGACCACGAACCGGACCCGCCGCTACCCGTTCCCCTCCGTCCCCTTCGGCGTCCTCTGCTCCTCGGACCCTGGCCGGCGAACCACGGAGGAACTTACAGGCGAGGATCCGGCGCCGAGAAAGGAACCCGACGACGGAACCGGGTCCTCCCTCCGCTCCGGTCCTCCCTCCGGGGCTCCTCCTCACTCCGTCCTCGGCGACCATCCATCCCCCCTGCTTCCTGCCGGGCAGACCCTCCGACACGGAGCCGGACCTCACCCAGGACGCGGGGCTCGCTCCCGCCGTCACCGGAGACCAGGCGCCTCCGCGGTCCTCCGGGCGGTCCGGTCTCAAACCGCGGCGGCCATTCGTCACTGCGGAGGCGGGACTTCCGGTGTCCCGACGCGGAACTTCCGGCCAGGACCGGAAGCTGCGCCTCAGCAGGGGCCTCCCTGGGCAGGTGAGCGTAGGAGCTGCAGGAGGAGCCGCAGGTGCGAGGGTTCCTGGCGGCCCGTGGCCAGTTGGTCATCCTGCCGCGCTTTGGGTCTTAACTTCCTTTCCTAGAAACTCGCCAGGTTGCCCGAGGCCGGCGCTGCCTGCTCCCCGCGGGGGAACCTGTGTGCTGACGTGGGGATGCGGGTGCCGGTGCGTGCGGAGGTGCGGGCGGGGCCCAGCGGGGGACGGGGTGGGCCGGGCCGCCCTGCACCTCAGGCAGAAGCCTATCATCTCATCACTTTGGAGGGCGTGACGTTGGGACCGGGGACCGGAGACGTGGTGTCACGTTAAGAGAAGCAGCCTCTCCTTCCAAATCCTATAGAATCCTATATAATAAGAGACTAATATGCAAATTGTCCACTTGACCGGAAGTTCATCCAGGGGATAGGGCCCGCCTGCTGGATCTGTACCCATCAGCTAGATGGGTACCAATGGGGGCCGGCCTGCTTGCACCCCGTCCGTGCACAAATTCGTGCACCAGGCCTCTAGTCTTTTACTATTTGTGGTGGAGGAGAAATCATGTGAAGTGGGCGGAGAACATTTAATAATTTTGCGTGGTGCTTACTACCAAGGTCCTTTTCTCCATCACTTCATCCCTTTCCCAGCCCCTTCAGGAAATGACAGAATAGACAAGTCATCTGATGTGATCTAACTGGAGTCAGACAAGATTTGACAAATACATTAGATTATCCAAATATAGCTAGACGGTGAAATGAAATGATCGGAATAAGGTACATAAAACCACTCGGTTCTCACCAGAATATGAAGACTGAGCTGTTCAGCAGTGTGGACCTCACGAATATCCACATGAAGCCTAAAAGGGTTTTATTAAGTTCTCATCAAGCTTGTACCTTTCTCCCCAGATCTCACATTTTGCATTACAATGAATGACACGTTGACCTCAGACGTCGTTGGTCGCCGAGTTTCCGTCAACGGAGAATGTGCCACGGTCCGTTTCCATGGCACCGTCCCTCCTGTGGCTGGTAACGTATGACTTTGCGTGTGTGCATAAGTATGTACTTGTAGTTCTTTGTAGGTTTATCCCATAGTGCTACAGTAAACCAATTTTGAGGAAATTAATAACCAATTCAGAGATGCCTCCCGTATACAATTTTATTTGATGAGGATATCCGGTGCTATCTATGGTTATACTTAGTTATACTATTTCATTATTTAGTGTTCATTACGTTTATTAGGAGTGTTCTTGGGATCAGTACTAATTAATGGGAAGGGAGTTGAATTGGGTAGAAGTTGGACTGTGATGGGATCTGATCAAAGGTTTCATCTGACCCCATGGGGTACTCTGAAGCTAGGATGGCCTTCAGTCTTTTTTTTTTTTTTTTTAACTTATATTTTGGTTTCAGAGAGGAAGGGAGAGGGAAAGAGAGAAACATCAATGATGGGAGAGAATCATTGATTGGCTGCCTCCTATATGCCCCACACTGGGGATGGAGTCTGCAGCTTGGGCATATGCCCTGACGGGGAATCGAACCGTGACCTCCTGAGGCGACCATTGAGCCATGCCAGCCAGGCATCCTCAGCTGGGCATTTACCCCTCTGTAGTGATTTATCATGGGGTTGCCCTGACAAGGGGGT